ATGAACTAAAGCAAATAGTCCTAAAGTTCATATGGAACTACAAAAGATCCCAAATAGCCAAAGCAACCCTGAGAAAGAAAAACAAAGCTGCGGGGATTATGCTCCTTAACTTCAAGCTCTACAAATCTACAGTAATCAAAACAGTATGGTACTGGTACAAGAACAGAACCATAGATCAATGGAACAAAATAGAGAGGTGAGATACAAATCCATGCATATATGGCCAGTTAATATATGATAAAGGAGCCATGCATATACAGTGGGAAAAAGACAGCCCTTTCAATAGCTGGTGTTCAGAAAACTGGACGGCTACATGCAAGGGAAAGAAACTAGATTACTGCCTAACTTCATACACAAAAGTAAACTTGAAATGGATCAAAGACCTGAATATAAGACATGAAATAGTAAACCTCTTAGCAGAAAGCATAGACAAAAATCTCTTGAACATAAGCATGAGCAGTTTTTTTCTGGACATATCTCCTTGGGCAAGGGAAACAAAAAATGAACAAGTGGGAATACATCGAACTAAAAAGCTTTTGTACAGTAAAGGACACCATCAGCAGAACAAAAAGGCACCTACAGTATGGGAGGAAATATTCATAAATGATTATCTAATAAAGGGTTAACATCCAGAATATATAAATAACTCATATGCCTCAACACCAAAAATACAAATAACCCGACTAAAAAATGGGCAGAGGACATGAGCAGATATTTATCCAAAGAAGAAATATAGATGGCCAATAGGCACATGAAAAAATTCTCCACGTTGCTAATTATCAGGGAAATGCAAATCAAAACCATAATGAGATATCACCTTGCACCAGTTAGAATGGCCACCATCCAACAGGCAAGAAATAACAAGTGTTGGCGAGGATGTGGAGGAAGGGGAACCCTCCTACGCTTTTGTTGGGAATATACATTGGTGTAGCCACTGGAAAGCAGTATGGAAGTTCCTCAAGTAACTAAAATAAAAATACCATTTGACCCAGTAATTCCACTTCTAGGAATTTACTGGAAGAAAACAAAATCTCTGATTTAAAAAGATATATGCACCCCTATGTTTATTGCCTCATTACTTACAATAACCAAGATACAGAAGCAACAAAAATGCCCATCAATAGATGAATAGGTAAAGGTGTAGGACCCATAGACAGTGGAATAATTTTCAGACATGAAAAACAAAGAAATCCTTCCATTTGCAACATAGAGGATATTATGCTAAGTGAAATCAGCCAGGGGAGAAAGACAAACACCATATGATTTCATTTATTTGTGGAATCTAAAAATAAAACAAAATGAACAAAATAGCAGTAGATTCATAGACACTGAGAAGTGACTGGTGGTTACCATGGGGGAGGGATTGGAGTGGGTGGGTAGGGAAGGTGAGGGAAATAAAGGGGCACAAAAATTCTTGATTATAATATAAGTTGGTCATGGGATGGTAGTACAGCATGGAGAATATAGCCAATGATTCCTTAACATCTTCCTGTGTTCACCGATAGTAGCTATACTAGTTGGGGTTGAGGATTTAATAATATGGATAACTGCTGAACCACTGTGTTGTATACTTGAAACCAATATAAGATTGTATATCAATTATACTTAATTTTTTTAAAAAGTAAAGCAAAAAAGGAAATCTCTAATTTCAAAAAATGACTTGCAAATTTTGTCTTGCATGTAGTGCTAACCCTACATTTTCAAGACTATTCTGTAGAGTACACCAAGTTTGAAATTTTATTCTTCCATTTTCATTTTTGGAAGCATAAGTAAAGATGAATTTGTTTTGGCTGAATGTAAAAATAATAATCATCAGTATGGTTGCATGCAACATTTTCTCTCTGCTCATTCTGTACTCATCTTTTTCCAGTTCCAAATGTCATTTGCATGGACCTGATGATATTGAGTATTGAATATTGCAGAGGAGTGATAGCTTCCCTTTCACAATGAAGCTGAAGCTTCAAAGAGAAGATTAAAGAAGTGTTTATTATCTATATGCACAGGCTTGATATGAAATTCTCAGGATTTTAGGATAAACACATCTCTGGATGTGTGTTTGCATGCTTTTTTTTCTATATACTTATATTGTGATCTTTATAGTTCAGTTTAAAATTTCTTGTTTTGGACTTCTTGGAGTCTCTGACTAAAGGATAATTGTTTTCAGAGTGAAGGATAAGAATTAGAAGATGTCAGGATTTGACTAAATGCCTCCTAAAAAGTATAGAATTCTCTAGTGTTGAATCATCTTTCCAGAGAATGTGATGAAGGCCACCCATAGGATATGTTTAACAAGACAAGATCAAGACCTTAAATGTGTCCAGCAGAGAGTAATCCATGGTGCCTTCCATTGAGGAATGAGAATGTTTACCTTTTGGCCTTGTCTTTTAGAAGTATCCTTATGAACTGTGGGATAGGGTTAGGTGTGTGTGTGTGTGTGTGTGTGTGTGTGTGTGTGTGTGTTAACAGAATGTAGGGTTGTTACACAATTAATACTTAGAGTAAGAAGAGAAGAATACAGGGGTAGCAGGATAGTTTTATACCTTCTGAAAAAGAATGAGAACTAACATTCCACTTCATGCCACTCTGTCAAGTTCTACATAGGATTTTTATTGACAGAAATATTTAATTATACTGTCATCAAGAATAAAGTAGATTCTGCTATTTATAATAAACTAGGTAGAACTGATACTTTATTTGATACTGCTAAATTGAGTTCTTTCTCCATAAGCAGCCTTCTTAAGATACAGTTACTATTGGCAAAAACAATACTCTTAGAATATGGGACCTTATAAGATCTTAACCAACAAGAAAAACCAGGAAACCAGGAGCAATTTACAGTATGTAGAGAAGGGAAATGAAAATACATGTGTGAGCAAAAGTGGGGACTATGGGGGAAAGCGGACAAAAGAAGAGGTGGAGATCATCAATAACATAATTTGCCAAGAGTTGGCCATTTAACTGACACTACATGGCTAGGCTATTTTCCTGGGTCAATAAATGAGAATAATGTTGGCTGGCAAAGTTTCTGCTGTTGCTATCATTAACATTCTGGAAAGAGGAGTGCACATAGGCACACACATATATACACTTGCACATGCCCACACCCTAATTTCTATTTATATTAAATCAGAGGTTGGGTAATGATTGGAATCAGGGGCTAGGGTGATGCCTTGAGAGATGGAAAATAGCAAGGGAAGATGGCAACTTGCTCACCCCTTTGGTGCTTTGCTTAATTAGTTGTGTTTTACAGAAAAGAGTTTTATGGAAAACTCTTCACAGTGGCCAGGTACTCTGGGAAGCTGCACTGTCTGCTAGGTGGAGATTGACCCATCAAACCAGTAGGTACATCGTATTTAGGTTATAGCTAGTTCCAAATGAAATATGCCCTTACATCGACATGGAAGCTCTTCTTACCAGCTATTACAGCTTTACATTTCCCAGCCTTCTCCTCTTATTCCCTCTCCTTTTCCACTTCAGTGTCAAAGCTGTCCTGAACTTTCCCCAGCCTTTAACCTAAGTATCTTACATTCCCTTCATTTGATTGCTGGCCCAGAACTATTCTGTGAAAGGAAAGGAGCAAGAAAAGTCACTTGTGAGGTTTCTTCTCCACCTTGTCTTCTTTATCTCTGATAATTTCCCACAAATTCATCTCTGGGTTACGGTAACATACTCCCCACTGATTTCCTTCCTCTCCATTTTCTGAATTTTTATCTTGATACTCACTGGGCTAATAATTCCTCACTAAAGTAACTGCACCTTATTGCAATGGTATGTACTGGGAGACACACCATTATAACCTACCTAATTGCCTTTTTCTTAATCTTTTTTGATTTATGAATCCTTTTAAGAATGTGGCTAAAAGCTGTGGACTCAATTCCTAGAAAAGAAAATGCTTGTATGCACTTATGCATTCCTGAGAGATCAAGATGAGGATAGAAAAATACTCATACTAGTATTTTATGGCATGGAGGTCACTATGTCCACAGCAAGAATTTAATGTGTGGTGACTGTAATCAAGAATGGAGTATGCTGGGGAGTGAGTGAGAGGAGAGAAAGAAACTGTAGGCAATGGTTTTGATAATTTCACTGTCATGTTCATGGAAAGAGGATGGTAGATGGAGAGATATGAGAAGGGTGAAGGAGGGCTTGTTTTTTTTTAATAGGAGCCTAAATGCTGATGGAAAGGGCCAAGTTGAGAGGAAGAAGTTGAGTATATACAAGAGAAAATCAATGTGGAATAATTTATGGTTCCTGTGAAGGCAGGAGGAAGTGGAATCCAAGTACAATAGACTTTTGTGGGTAACCACCATATATAACATTGTTTCTATGAGGGGAAAATGCAGTTTAGATTTCAAATAACTGATCCTTTTGGTCACTACCATTTCATTGTTTTGAGACTTTAAGGGTTGTTGGTTTGCCAATCACTTCCCAAAATGAAAGAGGAGCTGGAATGATATAGTGGGCTGCAAGAGCCCTGATCTTTGCACAGACACAAATGTTAGATGACCTTGAGTCAATTGTTCATGCTTCACCTGTAAAGTTAAAGATTTAGGCCTAGAAGTATTTGAGGTTGTGTTTAGGGGCGTGATGTTTTTGTTGTTATTACAACTTGGGGTCACACTGGTATTTGGTGCCCAGGACCAGTGATGTTGACATGTCCTGTAATACAGAGGACAGGTTGTCAAAACAAAGAATTGTCCTGCTCAAAGCCTGTAGTGTTACTGATGAGAAACCCCACCCCATGGCCAGGTAACCTCTTAGGACCTTTCCAGCAATATGGTCACAATTACCTAGGAGTTACAGTGAGTCAAATGCCCCCTTAAAGCCTTTGAAAATCTTTCAAATCTCATGAACAACTCTGGTTTTTCTCACAGTAAGGTCTTTGGCTACTTACTAACTATTTAGCAAGCTGTCTAGACTGTGTGGGACAGCTACTGTATGCCAACCAAAATTGAGAAATACAAGTTTGACTTACCTCCATTCTTTTCCTTGTATTTCAGGTACTATTGGGATTTTCTACCCCAAGGTGAGTACTCTTTGACCATTTATGGTTTTATATTGAAAATGTGTAGATGTGTAGATGTTTTGTTTACTTCTATCTCTTCTAAATAAGCTTCTTCACAGAGTGGCATTAGCCATTTCCAAGAAAGTTAGTGGAGTGTTTAATTAACCTTCACCCTGCTGGGGCCTCCTGCCCTGCTTTTTAGCAATAAGAGAGGCTCTGATGCTTCTGCCTTCAGAGTGGATTGGTGTTTTATTATTTTATAGAACCAAAGCTATATTATGCTTTTATTCATTGAGCTTTGTTAGAAGCCAACAGGCTTCACTAACATTCAAATAAAATGGTGTCCGAGTCCATAATAAAAACGTTTGAAGCTTGGGAGGGTTCCAACTCAGCTAATCCTTCATTTGCTCCAGAAATAAATTCCAGTATGTTACCCTCCTCGATCACAGTGCTCTTCCACACAGCCTGCCTGTCTGGCAGCAGAGAAATGTCAGAAATGGAGTAGTGTTGAAATTCCCACTAGAACAGTGTTATCACATTTTAATATGAGCCTCGCTGCAGCCTCAGTGCTTCTAATTGCTTTCAAACCATTGTTTTTCTGCTTTTGCTTGATGAACCTAGCATCTGGCATGACTCTAAAAAGTACAACAGACAGCTGTGTGCAAAATTAAAAAAAAAAGAACAGTATTAGAACACATTTTTAAAGGTTCAAAATTAAAATATTTTTTCTGATTTTAGTTTGAGGGGTTATCTTGAAAATACATGCATTTTTTTCTCTTTTTTACTCTGGTTGAGAATGTCAGAAGTATCATTCTGAAAATTATCTTATCTCATTATAAATGGGCGCTTTTTATTTTCTCAGAGAATCACAGGTTTAGATCAAGCTTGCAAATAGTTTTATGAACTATTTTGCTCTATAACTTTTTAAAACTAGTTGTAGATTTTTCCAATATTGTTTATTCTCAATATTGTCAATGTATCCAGTCTCAGTGAGCAGTAATACTTTAAATTAATATTGTGAGTAATAATACTAGTTTTATTAAAATTAAAATTTTCTAGCTCATGCTTTGTTTAATTAAAACAAAGTCTATTCAAGGTTTTTAAAAAAAACTTTGAGGGATAAGAAACATACTTTTAATGTTTTTTTGTCTCATGTAAGTTAAAATTGTCTCATTTAAGTTAAATAATGTGATGTGGTGTTACGGTTGATCTCACTGTCCTAAGGCAATTATGGCTGAAAACATGGATTAAAGATAGAGAATTATATATAATAATATAGTAGTTTGTTTTGCAAAGTGCAAAATATTCAGGGAATGGCTTTACAGTTTAGGGTTTAACAGATGTTAACCAAAATCCACAGGGGGCATAACATGAATGAGAACTGGTAGAAATGAATGGAAATGTGAGGGTAGAATTAATTACCTAAAGGAAAAATAAAGAATTAGTGTCAAAGATGTGGTACAGTAATGTGTTGAGAAGAGAAAACAATTTTGGAGCTTAATACAAGAGATTATATGGGGCTAAAAAGACAAAAGGCACATCCTACCAGATTCTTGTAATAGTAGCATTGCAGTCATCCAGCACAGAGCAACTTCTACACAGCTCTTCTCTCTTTGAAAAGAGGCAGAGGTAGAGCAGCCAAGGGGACAATTGAAGAGTTTTATTTAGAACAAAAAAATGTATTTGCTTTTCCATAATGATTGAATGTATGTAATAAACTCCTTGGTCAATTGGAAGCCAATGTAGGGAAAGATCAAATAGAAAAACCCATTTTCCATGTATCTTGCCCCCAGCCTTGTCTCTCCCACTAAGACATAATTGGGGGGAAGATGAGGGAGGAGTATTTTTTACCTTGCTCTTTTGATCAAATCTTAGATGATTGCATGCTTCAGAAACTGGTGGGGCGGGTGCAGTAATAGGTCTGTATAAGGTACTATCGGACAATTGAGGATTATGAAAAGAAGAGAAATATGTAAGATAGAGAACAGCTGACAGAAGAATTTTAAAAGCCCTGGAAAACCAGGTAGTACCAGAAAGAAGTGAGAAAGAACAGAAATGATGGACCTGAACTTTTCCAGCATTTTTATCTATGGCAGGATCCTCTGTGCAGGAATATAATGGAATGAATTTTATTAACTCAGTGCATTTGCCTAAATACACACCTGTGTTCTTCAGGTTATGGTAAAGTCTGTAATGAGTTGGTACTAAATGTGCTAAAAAGGTAACCTTTAAAGAGAAATGTACAAAATCTATGAAATGAGTTAATTATTGACAGATATTTCTTTCAACTACAAAGTATAATGTTTATAATTAAAAATTTATTACGACAAAGTAGTCAAAATTTCAACTACAAAGTATGTTTATAATTAAAAATTTATTACTATAAAAACATCTTCATGGATATTAGAAAAATTTCCCACCATTAACCCAGTCTAAAGCAAATGACACAATATTTAAATAAAATTTTAAGAAAAACCATGGGAACTTTTAAAATACATATAAAAATTATTTTTTTTCTGTCTAATAGTCACTCACATTACATTTGCAATAGTGGTAAATATGGGCTTATGAAATTTCTTGGCAGCTTGAAGATTCTGGGTATCAGTATGGGTGATGTGGAGGGTTTCTGAGAAAATTATTTAGTATATTTCAGTATAAAAATTTTCTACTTTGTGAATCTTAAAAATCTTATTTTGAAATGGCAAGTCTATATCCCTTGTCAAAGTAAATTGATGCCTAAAAATACAGCTTGGTGAAAACAAATAGTTCAAAGTGAATAAAGAAAATTTTGTTATAAAGCCAGATTAACTATAGATAAGATTTAAAAGGCATATCAACTAATGTGTGGACCTTATTTACATCTTGAGTCAAACTAACTATAAAAAAAATGACAGCTATGAGGGAATTAGAAATTTCTAATTTTTAATAGAACACTGGATAGTTTGTGTTAAGAATCTACTGTTAATTTTTAGATGTAACAGTGGTATTATGCTCATGTTTTTAAAAAAATGTCCCTATCTTAGAGGTATGTATGTTGTAATATCTAAAGATAAAATGATAGATGTCTGGCATATTATTCAAAATAATATGGGATAGGGAGAAAGAAATGGGGTGGGGGTATAAATGAAACAAGTTGGATCATAAATTGACTCTTATTGAAGTTGGATGATGTGTACATGGAGATTTATTACACTATTGTAAAAGCAAAAGAAATTCAGGTTGAGGTTTATAAAAAATATGACATTCTTTTATTTCTGTTGTGAGAACCTAGTATATTAGTGCATAAAATACTTTATGTATTTGGACACAAAATGCATAGAATAGTGAGCTTTTAAAAAAAATTTTGTTTCAAGTTTAATGTTTTGTGATGGAAGGAGAATGAGTTTTGGAATCAGATCCAAATTTGAATCCTAGCTCCTCTACTTAACAAGCTTTGTTATGGCAAGTGACATAATCTCCTCATCTGCAAAATCTTGCTAATAATATCTACTTCACAGTTATTAGGAATTATAATGACATAATGAACTCATGAGGAGTGCTTATAACTTGCTAGGCACTCATTAAAGTGGTAGCCAAGTATTATTTTTATGTTTCAAAGTAGGGCTATGTAAGTAAATCCATGCATGGAACTTAGATAATATATATTTCACATGTCTTTCCATAAAATACATCCATTCTGGCTGGACCATGGTGTAGAACCATGTAGCTCACCATGTATATATTTGTGAGGTTTGCATTTAAAAGATGTGTGTGCAGAATTTGTATTGGTAGGCAGAGGTTATTTGTATTGTATTCAGAGGTTATATTTTTTAGCTTGTTGCTCTGTAATGTCTAAGTCATGTTGAATCAAAGCATGGATGTCACTTAACTTCTCGTCTCTTACTATCACATACTTGGAGCATGTAGTTATGACAACTACAAGAAGCAAACCATTAAAGCAGCAAAGAAACACCATCTTTGCACTAAAAAAAGGAGAGAAGGGTTTCCCTTTGAAGATGAAGTGTTTTTGAATTAATGGAGTGTACAGTGATTTTACTAAGTTTTATTTATGAAAATACTCTTTGCATTCATGCCAAAAGGTTTTAGCACAGTCAAAAGTAGGAGTTACACAAAGAAACACAGCCCAAATTTATGGCGTGTTTGCAAATGTAAGAAAAAGTCTGAATTTACAATATTTGTAATTTATCGTTAAGTATCTTTATATCACTATTCCTGGAATGCTAATATTTTATAAACATATATGTTGGTTATGAACCTAGAATATCCTGACCTATACTACTTTTTAAAAAGAATAATTCTACAATGTTTTCTGTGTCTTTTGGGGATTTAATAGGGAAAATGTACATGAAACAAATACTCCTTTTTGCTTTAACCCAATCTGTTAGCATCAACAATCTTGACAGCTGTTGTTGTGACTCGACTTCCTTTAGGCCTTTTCCTGCCTTTCCTTATTTACTATACTTTATACAAATTAATCTGTAGAAAGTGTTTATACACACAAATTGTTTTTGAAGTTAATCACTGACTTTGATACCTTTTCAAATATTTTACTTCCTATACATCTACTGGTTGGTTTTTTTTTTTAGTGGAATTATGCTTTTTAAAATTAATGCACTGTTTGCAACCACTGTCAAAGACTGTAAGAGTTTTTTAATAAAAAGTCTCACTTTCTTTCTTTTTAATATTAAAATTTTCTAAGATTTTTAATGTCCTTTCTATATGTGGTATTCTGGAGTATATGATATTGAGACCTAAGAAAAAGAACTGACTTTCATATAGGTGATAGAAGAAATAATTAGAAATCAGCTGCTGCTGCTTTTTGTATTCCCTATATAATATTTGTATACAGAATGTTCATTATATAATTGTTTGGAATAGCAAAGACTCCAAACAGTCTATATGTCCAGCAATAGAGGATTTAAATAAATTGTTGTATCCATTTAATGGAATCCTACATAAAGGTTACAATAACCGTGTGTGTGCGTGTATGTGTGTGTATAACATGGAAAGCTCTCCAAGGC